CACCCAGGCGCCCCACTTCTATGTGTTTTTAAAAAGAATAAATTTTATCTTCTTGGTTGTAGGTTCCATCTATGTCTAATTTTGTTTTTCAAATATTCTATATTCTCATCCATCTGATTTGACTCGATCCATAGTTATGTTGCAGTCTTCGACTGTGATTCTAGATCTGTCCATCTGTCTCTCCCTGCAGTTTCGTCAGTGCTTCCTATGTACCCATCTATCCATATTTGCCCGCCGCCCCCACCCATGACGTAGGCATGCTCCCAGCTTCAAAGCGGTAGGGGAGGGGGGTCCTGTGGGGTGGGCAGGTGGGCAGCAGCTTGTGAGCCCTCATTGATTTAGTCACATGTTCACTCATCCAGTCAAGGATTTCTCTAGCACCTACTATGTGCTGTCGATGTATATTTATTCTCTTTTTCTTCATTTGTATCAACTCTATTGAGATACACTTTATATAAATTCTACCCACTGAGGGCGCCTGGGTGGCTCAGTTGGTTGAGCGACTGCCTTCGGCTCAGGTCATGATCCTGGAGTCCCGGGATCGAGTCCTGCATCGGGCTCCCTGCTTGGCGGGGAGTCTGCTTCTCCCTCTGACCCTCCCCCCTCTCATGTGCTCTCTGTCTCTCATTCTCTCTGTCTCAAATAAATAAATAAAAAATAAAATCTTTAAAAAAAAAAACAAAAAAAAAACTACCCACTGAACACGGAGATGGGTTTTCACGTGACATTAACGTGTGTGTGTCTGTGTGCATGTGTAGAACCGTTACCTTCCAGAGGAGTTAGTATTTGCGTCATCATGAAGTGACTGTCTGCCGTGGAGGCCCGCAGATCTGTCCCCAGCTGTCTGTCGCTCAGACTTTGTCACTTACCCAGCTCCCCTCACTCTACCCCGGATGCACTGACCTTCTTGCTGCTCCTCAGAGACACTGAGCATCCTCCTATCTCAGAGCCTTGGCGCATGATGTTCTGCCCCTGGAATTTTCTTCGCGTGTCCTCATGACCTGCCGCATCACTTTGCTCAGTTCTCTGTTCAAATGCTACTTTATCAGAGAGGCCTTTCCAAACCACCCTGTGTGAAATAGCAAACCTCTATCTCTCTCCATCATTCTTACTCTGAGTGGTTTTTCTTTCTGGTATTTGTTGCTGCCTGTCATTTGTCTGGGTTGGCGGTGCTGCCCACAGGATGATGGAAGTTGCCTGTAAACCACAGGAGCTGAGACAGAGAGCTGTGAACTCTGTGTTGTGCCCCTGGGAATGAAGGGAAATGACCAGGTTTGGGGAGAGCACTCCATTGGGAGAATCAGAAGGCAGGCATTTTGCAAATGAGAAGGAGAGAGCTATCATCAGATGGTATGAATCTAAAGGAAAGGTTTTTGGGTTTTTTTTGTTTTTTTTTTTTTTCTTTCTGCATGGGAGCAGAGTCGATATGGTTTGGAGGGAGCCATGGGTAAGTAGGAAATGCCAGTGTTTCCCTGGACCCAAGGATTTTTGCCATCTGGGGGGAGAAGGAGGAGCTTCCTATCCAGAACGTCGATGGGGGCCAGCAGCATCTTCTAGGGAGGGTCAGGGTTTATATAAGGCAAGAAGGCTGTAAGAGAATTTTGTGGAAAAAATTAGTGTAGAGAAACTCACTTTACATGAGGGACCTTTGGAAAGGGTAAAAGGGTGGCCCACAGTGGAAGAAAAGGTTTTTGGGGGAATACAGGGCAGCCTTGGGGGTGAGAACACAAGAGAGCATCTTTCACTGAATTGGTTTGGATGGTCAGCAAGCAGCCAAGAAGGCAGAGATGAGGTGTTGATTTCAGCTGCTGTCCTACAAGCAGAAGGTTCACATCTAGCCTGGCGCTGAGAGCGCGCACTGTTGCTTGACACTGATACAGAATGAGAGACTTTTGTTGTCTAGTGTGAGAGACAGAACAATGCCCTCCCCCGAGGAGGTTTCCTGATCCCCAGAACCAGCTAAGGTACCTTCTGTGGCACATGTGATTAAAATTAAAGGCCTTAAAGTGTTCTGTTATTTGATTATGCTAAATTACTCTTCCATTCTACTGCTGAATCACATTTAGATTATTTCTGTTTGGGGCTTTTACCAAATATACAAATCCTTGAGTCCCTGTCTCTTGGCAGATACGCGCAGCATTTCCATAGTGCGTATGTCTAGAAGTGGAATTGCTTGGTTAGGGAGTATGCAGATGTCCTGATTTACTAGGTGACGACAGACTAGTGATAATCAAATGATAGAATACTTTAGTAACGGGCGCCTGGGTGGCTCAGTCGTTAAGCGTCTGCCTTCGGCTCAGGTCATGATCCCAGGGTCCTGGGATCGAGCCCCGAATCGGGCTCCCTGCTCAGCGGGAAGCCTGCTTCTCCCCCTCCCACTCCCGCTGCTTGTGTTCCTGCTCTCGCTATCTCTGTCTCTGTCAAATAAATAAATAAAAATCTAAAAAAAAAAAAAAAAGAATACTTTAGTAACAATGAATGGCCTACACTATACCCAACTTCACGGATGAATACATATCATTTTGAGGGAGCAAAAGAAGCTAAATGCAAAAGAATAAAGTTGGAAAATCGGCAAGACTAAGCTTGCAGTATTTTTATGGATGCATAGTTAGAGGAAAAACTAAAACAACAACAACAAAAAAACCCCACAACAACCAGTAAGTTATTGCCATAAACCTTTGGTTAAATCAGAGTGTAGAATGGGAGGTGGTAGGAATTGGGGAACACAAAATCCTAGGATGCTAACCATGTTCTAAGTTTTGATTAAGTGGTAGTTCTATTTGTGTTTACTTTCTGATACATCATGGAGCTCTACATTTATCTTTTATCTCTTTTTTTTATATACATGTTTCTTACAACTAAAAGTTGTGAAATAAAAGTATGAAATAAAAAATACGAAAATATTAAAATTGGGACACCTGGGTGGCTCAGTCGGTGAAGCATCTACCTTCAGCTCAGGTCGTGATCCCAGGGTCGTGATATCAAGCCCTGACATGGACTCTGTGCTGGGCATGGAGCCTGCTTAATATTTCTCGCCCTCTGCCCCTCCCCTGCCCCCCCAAGGAAAAAAGAAAACATTTTAACATCTTAAAAATGATTGCTTCAGAGACCAAATCAAGAATATTTTAATGTTATTTAAAATAAACTAAATGTAATGAGCTACGTTTAAATGTAAAAAAAATGTAGAAACTAAAGACAGGCAGAAAAGAAAAGAAAATGAAGGAGGAGGAGCC